GCCTTTGTCAGTCTTGAGTAGCGTGTGCCTGTTGTAGTATTGCTTCATCAGTTTACTCAAACTGTGAGGCACCTTTAAGCCTTGCTCAGCAAAGAACAACGCGGGCTCAAGTAATGTACTCAGCGGAAACTTCGAGAACTCAGCCGCTTCAAACATGCCCGCAAGGAACCCTGGGACTAGTACTGAGTCTCCCAGCGTCTCCAGCGACGGAATCTGTTCCTGGTTTCTGTTTCTTGGGATCTTCCATCCGGAGTCTAGATTGTGAACTCTTCCGGTCACGTGATCGTAGTAAAGAATGTTTGCTACCCCGGCGAAGGAAACTGTTGCTCCCGCTGTTAAGGGAATTTCTGGAAATACACGAAAAAGAACATCATATRTATATTAATTAAAACCAGATTCTTTAGAATTTACTCCAGTTTCGAATTTTCGGTAATTCAGGGCTCGCCTCCTCGATTTTGTATGGAATTATTTTGAATATATGTGTGCTGTCATGTTCAAGTGACGGTTCGTGGAATTTCAAAGTGTTTGCATCGTTGGACAAACTGAAATGAGACCAACCCTGAGGGGTAAATGTGTCTGGAAAGTAAGTAAGGGAAAGGTTTAAGAGAAATTGCGTGTCCAATAGGACTGACGCATGACTACCCTGCAGTGTTTTCGATTTAAAGTGCCTATCACCCTTCTGACAATATTCACAGTATTGATTCTACGTTGAGTAAGATGTTGAATAACCAGAAAAAATTATATAGTTTGAATGAGGCTTCTTAAAGTTATAAAGGTTTTTCCATGCGTTATGCTAATGCTGTGACGTATGAAGAATAATCATTTAATATACAAAACATTACTGGCGCAGATAAATTAGATTTAAATTTTGAAGGGTGATAGCCACTTTAAAAATCGAACTATACTTTTAACGCAAACAGAACATGAAGAATTCAACACCTGTTATTAATTTCAAATCAATTTCCTTTTCCACGTAAAAACATGTGTTTTTGATCTTAAAACTTATCTGTTGTCAAGTTCATCAAACTGTTTGTGCGGAGCTTATTGATTTATAGTTGAAAGATTAATGATATCTCAAATAGGTTAACCTCAGCACCTCGTTAGGAAGTCCCAAGATGTTTTGAATTAATTTTTTATAACATTTAAGGTTGCTACTGACATGCTCTTAAATAAAGCGTCAATAATCTTCACAATTTCAAATTTTGTCGGCAAATTGAGCATGGCATAGTCCTGGCATGGATCGTCCTCTGGATAAGGACAAAAAATTAGCCTTATTTGACTTGCGTGACGTCACAAATTCCAARATGGCGGTTTTCCCGCCAAAAAGCACCATCGAAATATTCTAATTTGATTGCCATTTGAATTTACTTTGTCTGGCCGTAATTGTGCAATAGCGTTACCAGAATGAACAAAGAAGGTGCCAAGACAACTGAAAATATGTGTGATATAACACACAACTTGCGCTGATTGGCTCGCGCTACCGAGTTAATATCAGGATCTGGACAACACGCGCGCCAATAATCAAAATTATTTTTATAAAATTTTAAAAATACAGCTAGTTTCTCTCTGTTGATTAGTTCTAGAAGCTGTAGAGCACTCGAACTGCACGAGAATCTCTCAGCGACGTGTGCCTCGTGTGCCTAAGCTCTTGCTTCTCTCGTGACCTACCGCCCAGAGTGTTTATACTATGGCGTGTTTTTTACCGCAGAAAATATAAGCGTACCTAAAGTTAAATCCCCGAAGTTATTTGACCCAATGACGTAAAATAGCTTCAGACAGACCGCAAATGCTACACGTACTTGTAGTARCCGCAAAAATAAAACAAGGTCGATGACACACGCTTATTGCTCGAACGTGGACTGTATCTAAAGTCAAGGTCGTCTCCAMTGCACGTTCCATCGAGAGAAGCCTACGCGGCAAACTCTTCATGCAACACACGTTATGCCATTCCTGGGCTCAKGGTCATATGTGAGTAGAGAAGCTTGTTCTCTCCTGTGCTTTGAGCATAGTTAATGGAGCGGAATGGTTTGGAAACCTATTCTATGTTTTTGTTCGTCTTTTTCCATTGTTATATGACGTTGACTTGCACAGAAAAGTTGCTCCGTTTGTTCACAATATTAGGGAATATAGAATTCCCCCCCCCCCCCTTAAAAATATGAATTATTTGTTAATTAATCCTATATGATTAATATTAATTGTTTATTGAAAAGGAAATTGCCATTTTTAATGCTTTCTTATTTATCATCTAGAAAGGCTTAACTGTATCTAGGGAATGAAAGTTTTCGCTTTCAAAATGTTCATACATGAAAATAATAAGGAAATGAGTATTTTCAGCCATACTTGCTTTGGTCCATTGTGCACGGTCAGTAACACGTGATGGTAAGATTCAATATAAAATGCAAAACAATAGCTTTGTTCTATGGAGTTTCCAAAGGTTCATTCCACTCCACTTCAAAACTTTGTTTTGAGGGTAGCCTGCGAACCTACTTTGACGGTTTTTTCCGTGTTCACCGGTTTTGCCTGCCAGCGTAAAAATCAACTRCTAAATCAGTTCCTATTCGATCTGGCGTCAAAGGCTTAAACAAGGCAGAGCCTTTGGCTCGGGAGATCTAATCCGTGCAGTCATCCCCTGCAATCGACGTAACGATTGACCGCCATTTAACCAAGAAAATGTTTGCTATTGACCTCTATTGGGTACTAGAAGTACAGAGTTTTGACAAGAAATGTTTCTAGTAAAAAAAACTTGCGACGCAACCGATTGATGTCCATGGTAACAAGATAACAGATAGCAACGTACGTAATTTCACTTTGTATAATGTTCGTATATAACGTTCGTATATACTCTATTTCAGAAATCGTTGTCGCACCAAAAGCCTCAAGCAACAAGCCAAGACCACAGAGAACGCTGGTACATTTAGCTGTAATTAGTGGTGCATTTTCATTTATTGACTTCACAAATTGCTCCAAGCAAGGCTGCTTGAGATGATAATTAGTGTAGAGCTATAGCCCCTTGCATGAACCATGAATAATTAAATTATAATTAAAAGTACCGACGTTCTCTGGAGCCTTGGCTTGTTACTTGAGGCTCTTGGTGCGACAACGATCTTCGAAATAGGTGTATATGTTACGTAAAAAGAGGTACGAGCATCCGTGCATTATCGCTGGATAATGCACCCTCAGAAAACCGCGCATTGTGTCAGTAATATACTCTTATTTTAATTTGAAATTGTCTTAAATAATTTTTTAATTAACTTAAAAATTTCACCGTCCTTCATTTGACCTGAAAATGGGGGACGCTGTAGTGGTCAAGCAAAACAGTTCTGTTGAGCGCAATCAACCAATTTTTTTTGTTATTCTTTGCAAAAATGCGTGGTGAACCGCTCGCGTGAGTTTAGAAAAGCTGTCAATTGCATTATGTACAATCTTTCCGTCCTTCAATTAATCTAATTTCCAAGTGTCAGTTAAATGTCTGCCGTGGGGCGAGACGATGAAGTTGTACAATTAATAAACTCTATTTAATCCTAAGGTATTTGACATATCCTAATTAGAGTAATTACATCGTTAACTTTTTCTGGCGATGATTGTCATGAGCGAAGGTCTTGTCCACACGTATCCGGATATATTTGAAAACGGAATTTCTTCTTTGAGGAGTCTTCTTAGCGGTTCGAAAACGCTACGTGTGGACAGGAATGGTCATATAAATGGATACAACTGAAAACTTAAATTCGGTTGAAAACGCTAGTTAGCGGCCATGGGTGTGGTTTTTAAAACTGGCACTAGCACAGGTAGCCCAAGATTGGTTTCACGTTTCAATTATTTTATTGACTTTTTTGATGAATCCCCATACATTTCCTTATAACAGGACACCACAGAAACCAAGCTTGGGCTACCTGTGCTACTAGTGATTTATCACTTATAGACCACCATCAGCTCAGACAGCCAAAGCACAGGATTCGTTACAGTAAAATAGTAGGTTTAGACTATATATATATATTACTGTAATAAGCAAACAAAGAATCGTATTTCAAAGACGTTGGATTGAATGGAGAAACGGTATTTATTTTCCAAAGGTTTTTCTTGTGTTTTCTCCAAGACWAAGCTTCCGTGAAACCCCTCGATGGAAGGTTACCAACATAATATCTATAACAAATCGGTTCTGTTTYTCGTTTGCAGCCTAGTTACCACCCAGACCGGACGCCAAAGTGAACACCTTCACAGCTTGAACAAAAATACTGCCGTCAATAAGGTCGATTCAATGGAGAATACAAGTAGAATGATCTTAGAACCGGAAAAGATGGGTGGCTAGCTTAGTTGGAAATAGTCTCGCGTGTCAGTTGATAAGAGATCTTTCCTCTGAATTCGGATTACATTTAGATTGAGTTCAGGTTTTCGTCCACCCACTTGTAAAAAGGTGCATGAGCTCTGTCAAAACATAGTTAATAGATAAAACAAATGTTCCAGGTTTGTGATTGGGTGGGATCGAAAACGTTAAATGGACGCAGACGTGGTATCRACACGGTAGCACGCCAAGTACTAACAAGTGGGTCTTCCACGATGTCTAGACTCTCCGCCCGTCATAGACTAATAATTGCAATTAATTTGGCAACGACTGGAATGTGATTAAAAGGGTCTTCCGTGAAAGAATCTCGGCAGTACTACTGTAGTTTTACATGATTAGAAAATTTTCTGGACCTTTTCTTTTCTAGTCTATTTTTGGCAAAAACAAAAAAACATTTCGTCGGACAAGGATAAAAATAAATGAAATGGTTCTTTGATATATATTAACAATTAGAAGGAAATCGATTGCTGTATTTTGAGTACGACGCAGAGAGTAAGTTCAAACCAATAGGAAAACTAGGAAAGGAAACRAAAGGAGTGAAAAAAGAGGTGAGGGGAGGTGATGAAGACGAATATGAAGAAGAAAGAAAGGATGAAAGATGAAGGAGAAGAAATGAGAATAAGAAATAGTACAAGAGGAGGAAGAGAGAAGGAGAAGAGAAGAAGCTGAAAAGAGCAAGAAGAAGAAGAACGACAAGAATAAGAACAGATGAAGATGAAGAACAAGAAAATAGACTAGTGAAGAGATGAAAAAAGAASAAGAAGAAGAAGAACGACAAGAATAAGAACAGATGAAGATGAAGAACAAGAAAATAGACTAGTGAAGAGATGACGAAAGAACAAGAAGAAGAATAAGGAAAATAAGAACTGAAAATAGCAAATAGATGGCAGGAAACTTGAAAAACGGGAGCTTTTTAATGAAAAGTTTTTTTCAACAACCAATCCTCGCTCGGACAAATCACTTGACGACTGAGGGTCTCTTCTTCCACACGTAACACATGCATCATCGCACTTTGTTTTTGTCGGAACAGGTCTTGAACCTACTTTAACTCAAAAGAACTTGACGAAACCCCGACAACTCATTACACATATATTCGCAAGACCCTAACCTACTACGTGACTTTTGAACGTCAACCACTTCTTTTKTATGCTATATATTTCTATGTTATTAAAATTCCGCCTCTTCAAAAGGGAGTTGTCAATTTATCATACGCATATACGCCTACAAATCGTTTATACTCAATAATTTAAAATCGTTGAAAATGTAATAAGAATATTTAACAAGGAGTCTTGGGTCGGTCATAGTTCGTTTTGGTATTAAACAGACGAACCCTATGTTCTCAGGGATTGCATTAGGAGTGGAGAGCATTGGCTATCAAATCCCTGGACAAACTTAAGGCCGAGACAGCGTCTACGTGCTTCTCTGCACACAATGGATGTAGAATTGGTTAAGGGTAGAGATGTATACGAAATGCTACGAAAGTGGCCTAATGGAAGAACGACAAAAAATAGTTAGTCAAGGCCCCGTTCTCAAAATATTTACTAAAGTATGGCAAGAACAGTGGTTCGYGTGTGATCGCCGGATTCGCCAGGAGAAATCGCATTTTCCCCCGACAAAACTTATTAGCTTACGACGAAATCTCCCTACWGAACACCTTCCAAACATTTATGGCCAGCAACCAAATATCTTGTAGTATATTTAGCTTTGTTTATCGCTCTATCTCGTGGTWATATCATGTAGTGAGACTAAAATGGCCCTTTTTATCGATGAGTCACGGAAATGATGTCAAAAACAGAGTCCAAAGAAAGGGTCAGGAAATCCGTAAAATATCAAAAATATCTTTTTAAGTTTAACGTCATTGTAAGCCAGACAGACTGTGAAGATCATTGTTGTTCTAAAAACTCGTGTTGAATCCAACAAACAAAACAAAGCAATAATCTATCAAACCCTTAAACAACCTCTGATCAATGTCAATGGCACGGCTAACTCACAGAGAAACGAAGAACCGATGGAGAAAACGAAATAACTAACGAAATGAGAGAATGAAAATGGGTTTGTGTCTTTCTCCTAGTTGCACAASAGTGAAGGCATTGAAGTAAACTACCTTTTCCAAGGACAAAAAAAGGAATTTGCGGTCTGTTTTGATTTGAAGGGCTGTTGAAATCTACTGTGACCTTAGAGCTGCAAGTCTACTAACGTAGAACATTAATTATTACTTTTATCTGCGAAGCGATCAACTTAAGAACATGTTGACTTCCTTCAGGGTACATATTTTCTCATTCCAATGARCTTCATTAGTCAGGAATGTGTAGAAGGCGGTCAGAACGCTGAAAACTAGTTCATATACTTTGTTCAGTAAATTTAATAGTTGTGAAAAGTATACTGGGTCGAATGCTGGGAAGGATTTTTTGTGKWGATTTWACAGCCMAAAGAGGAAGGAACGCTTGAAAATCAGCGAGTTTTGATTTACACGGCTGGCCCTTATCTGATTTTACAAACATTCGACTTTTATTGAGTTAAGTGAAAAGAATAGCCCTGTAGAAGGCACGAATCCATCTTCAGGACATGGCGATTCATGCATTCGTTTTTGATTTAATTAGAAAAACAACTTTTAGAATTTGTCCGCAAGCCGGTTTCTATCTCTGTCCCACTTCATCACTGACGGCGCGAGTTTTCTAAGGTTTTTTGGCCCGAGCTACAGCTGGCAGCGCCCCAAAAACAAATCAAAAAGAAGTAATTTTAACAAAAATATTTCCTTACCTGCCATTGCTGTTGCTAAACAAGCATCCATCGCATTCCCGCCTTTTCGTAGCGCGTCTATTCCCGCGTGTACCGCGAGTGCACTAGTCGTTCCCGCCACTAAGCCCTTWGTGTCACTGTAAGCCAGAGGCTTCGGCCGTGGATTCTTTCTAAGARAAATCGTTTCTAACCTTAGGTATTCTTCTTGAGGCCATGTTGAAGGAGAAAGTGAAATATTCTCTCTGGGAATATTTCCGGTAGATATTTCAATAACAGTAACGAGATAAAGCATAAGGATTTGAATAAAGTCCATCTTTTTTTTACTTTGCTYTAGATACTTCGTTTTCAGTGGATGTCTAGCGAATGCTGCAAAGTTCTTCCGAATCCGTCAGATTTATACCGGCTCTAAGGGTAACTCAATACTTCGCGGATTATCTTACAAAGACTTTAAACTGTAACGCAAGGAATATCACGTCAATGATAGTTACATCTTTAGAGAGTACACTCCTAGGTTCTCTAACGGGATATCCTATTTCGACCCCATTATACGAAGCCTTTTTCTGTTGTAATTTGCTCCAAAAGTATTTCTTAAAATTTTAAAAATAAATAGCCGACAGTCTTCTTGGACGACCAATTTGAAGATATCTACAAACCGTTTGGTTAATAATTAATAAAGAGTTTGTTTAATTAGGCGAATTAATTTTTTTTACCAAATCAGATCTGTTTCTCATTGGAAGTGACATGTCAGGAATCTGTCACTCCAGTTGGCCAAACACCATCTCATCTTACGTTGATTTACGCCGTTTATTGACTCGTATTGACTCGCTGATGGCCCTCAATGTTGTCCCACGGCAATGTTTTGAAGGGAAAGAGCATGCAGAATAAGTAGAAGCTCATCGAAATACAGAGAATGAGAACAGAGTCTGTCAAAATCATGTCTTCTGTGGCGGGTAATTCAGAGCAAGACAAGCCGTCTTCATCAACTTCGTCTTCAAATGACTGTCTACCGCCGAGTGTTGTTCAAGTTTCACGTGAGGAGCTTCGAAAATTCTTAAAATGCAAGCGCGTGGGGAACTATCTTCTTGGCAAAACAATTGGTGAAGGTTCTTTTGCCAAAGTCAAGCAAGGATTCCACGTTTTGACAGGAGAAAAGGTTAGTAAGTCATCACTAAAGATTTACATAGTTTCAATCTTAAACAACTTTACTGTAATACTAAGAATCCGAATTATATAACCCGCTTCGGATAATTCTGCGTCTCAAACCTTTGAATTTATTTATCATCAAAAACAGTTTCWAAGCCAAAATCACTGGCAGTTTGTTTAATAAAGATTGCATAAATTATTACGATGAATAATCTTTTTACTCCAAGTCTATTTATAAGAGTAATTTGATAACTCAACTCAATGGTAGTTTACTCAAATCCTTACATGACTCAATGAAAGGATGTACATAAAACCAACTCTAGCATCTCTAAAATACAATTGTCAGTGACAGAATTCACAAAGATGTTGCTTTGCCGACAAGTGTGTTTAAAAAGCTTTGACTTCTTTAATTGTTTGTTTGGGTTGCTTGGAGCAAAAACATTTAACTCGCTCGCGTGTGTAATCATTTCTCCACAGTAAATTGAAACTATAGTTCTATGTTATATAATAATAAGCCAGATCCCTAGATATTCATTTTCCACACAGATTAACTCAAAAGACTTTAAATCCGTAAATTCAATTGATGCAATCGTCAAATAARTGTAGCTGTTGTTGTGTAAGTTAATGAGTTATCCTAATTAAATTTCTATTCTCTTTGTCGAAAAACGTTCTGAATTACACTTATACAATCCATTGTATCCTATGAAATACAAAATCTTACTTATCCCACGACATTTTAGAATTTTTTTTTATAAAAAGACGTCCATAGAGAACGGTTATCATAAGTATTACAAACACGAGTGTCTTTTTTGTACATCAACAAAACAAGGTCACAAAGTTGAAGTATGCTTGTCATTCACCGTGGAATTTCAATAACTCAAGTAATAAACTATTTATTTGGAAGGAAAAAAAATATTCTCAAGAATTTATAAGCCAGTTCATCCTAAGTTTTATTTATTCAAAATGATATTTCCCCTGAAAGACTGGTATGTTATTTTCTAAACGGGGGATTACACTTCGTGTCTTTTKGGATTTATTAGATCAATTTTGAGTAAGAAAGTAAAGAGCCTTCATTGTGGAAGGATTAGTTTTTCTCATGACATTAGATATGACAAATTAAGATTGTTTTTTTTTTTTTACCTGATTGCTTTAAGGTTATGCTTTTCTTGGTGAGCTCTCGCCGTGACTTTGCATTGTTTTTCCATCCATAATTTATCGATATTATATATCTCATTTGATTCTGAGTTTTATTATGCAATTTATTTAAGACTACAAAAGCAAAAACATTTCCTTCGGACTTCCGTCTGGATTTTTCTGTCGTCACAGCTTTGCCAGCCTACGCAAAACGACCATTAGGCCGGTGAGTCGTTCGGTCTAGTAAAAAATGGCCACTTTGGAGAGTTTTTGATCAATAATCTTATGAGAAAGATTCGACGTGAGACTTTATACGATGGTCAGTCAAGAAAGAGAGGTAGTAAGGTAAGAAGTGGTTAGTCAAGAATGGCTCACAAATATAGACGGAATAATTTTCCTTGACCTGAAAAAGGCGTTTGACACCACAGATCATGAAATTCTTTTAACAAAACTAAGATTATATGGTGTCAATGTAAGTAGCCTAAAATGGTTAAGGTCTTATCTAACTAATAGAAAACAACAACAAAAAAAAACTGTTGATGGGGTACTTTCAAAAAGTCACAAMATTAGATGTGGCGTACCTCAAGGGTCAATCTTAGGGCCTTTGTTATTTATAATCTATATTAATGATCTTTCAGCTTGTGATCTGAATATCTAATATGCGTCTGTATGCAGATGATACTAGCCTAACCTTTGCAAATGCAAATGAGTCAGTTCTTGAACAACAAATGAATGATGACCAGAATGAAATTCAAATCTGGCTGATAGCAAATAAGCTTAGTTTAAATTTGGCAAAAACGAGATATATGATAATGACTAGCCAAAATAAAGCCAAAAACCTTAGGTATCCTTTTCTGATCAAAGTACGTAACGAACCTCTCAAAAGAAAAGTGTGCTA